CAGTATAATTGAGTAGAGAGGGACACTGCAAAGAAGGGAAGAGATTTTTTAGTATTGTTCTTCGGTCTCCTTAACCGAAGAGAGGGGAATGATAGGGGATCTGCTTGAAGCCACCAGCTCCTCAGAGAGCGTCACAGAGACGGATGCGGCTCTCGGCTGAATATCATTTCCTCATTACTGCGCTCACAAAGCAGAGGATGGTCTGCTGGATGAGAACGTTAATTCTGTTGTGCAGAGATCTGAATGCATTACTGGTTTAGATCTCATTTTTATCAGTAAATATGCTGTATCGAGTGATTGCATCCAGAATCAAACATTTAGATTTTAAATCAAAAAGGCAATTGTTTATTGACGCCTTTTGCGAGGTGTCCTGTTTTTGTGGTTTTCACTTCATTTTCCCTCCACCTGCTCTGAATCACTACAACCCATAGCTCTTTATTTTGTTATGTAGTTTGTCACAATAAGGCATCTGCTGATCTTACAGAACTGCCTTCTCTTCCATCTCTACAGACAGTCTCATGGGCCTTAGCAACAGGACGGCAGCAGAGTGGAGATGTTCAGAAAGAGGCCTCCTCCAGGTCAGCACCTCATGCCTTCTTTATCAGAGTACTAAAACTGTGAGAAATAGGAAGTGAAACACACCTAAAAATATCCTGAAGCTGTTTGGGTCTCAGACATTTGTTTTACAGTAGACATTTAAGCACAAAGGGTTCAAAACACAAATGTCAGAGTAAGTATTTACACAGTAAACAGAATGTGGGAAAATATTTCTTTTATTATTTAAAGACTATATTCCTGACAACAAAGTCTAAATGGAAAAGAACCTCAGCAACCCGAGATCCATCCATCCATTTATACGTACATACATACGTAGGTACATCCATACATAAATACAGACATACATATTCCCTGCTTTTTGTGGTTGACCTTATTCTGCTGGCTCATTTCTGCCAAGACCTACAACATCCACTGTATGAAGATGAACATCAGCTCTTCCAAGTCAGAGATTATGATTCTGGTGTTTTGCCTTCTTTAGGTCTGAGGAGAAGTACTACCTAGTTTGGCAAAGTTTAAGTATCTTGGGGAGAATGGAGCGTGAAATCGATAGACGGATCAGTGTGATGTGGACGCTGCACCAGTCTGTTGTGGTAAAGGGAGAGCTGGGCCAAAAGCCAAAGCTCTAGATTTACTGGTTGGTCAGTGCTCTGGTCTACGTATGTTCATGAAATCTGAATTATGACAGAATTTCAGCCAGTGATACAAGTGGCTGCCCACTATGCCGGTAGTAGAGCCGCTTCTCCTCCACATCGAGAGGAGTCAGCTTCTGTGGCTCAGACTTCTAGTCCGGATGCCCCTTTGACGGCTTCCTTGAAGGTGTTCAAGGCGCTTTCCACTGATAGGAGGTCCAGGGACAACCCAGGACACACTGAAGGCACTATGTCTCTCAGCTGACCTGGGAGCACCTTGGGTTTCCCCCAGAGGAGCTGAAGGAGGAGTATGGAGAGAGGAAAGTCTCTGCCAAGACTACTGCCCCCGAAGATAACACCATTCTTCTGTTAGCAACAACAAAAAATTTCAGGTTTTTAAGGGTGTACTTTAAATAAAAATATAATATTTCAATCAGAAGAAAGTAAAATTTGTAAAAAGTTAGAGCAGCATCTCGAGAAATATAACTATACATTAAAGGTATTATTGAGTGATTTCTAAAATCTTTCAAAAGACCTCTCCACTTTAAAAAACAATGCATTTGCGAGAGCATACACAAGCCCATTTCTACTCGCTGAAAGTTGATGTTATCATAGCTCATACAAGCTTACTGCGTCTGAATGTCCATCCTAACCCCTAAATCCTTCAATCCCTATATAGATTGGGGACGTATAGTGAACTCAGTCAACTTACCGTACAGACAGACGATCACTTCTCCGTTGGTCCACTGTGCCATGCCTGCGTGCAAAACTTTCCCGCACATACCTGCGTCTCCTGAGGCCTTTCTTTTCTTCTCATACATTTCGTAGACACTTTTTCTCTTACGACCCACAACCATTTTCAAAGAATCGCGGTGAGAAAGGGGAGCTTTAAAGACTTTCTGAAACAGTAGCTCACCACATATAGATGCCTGAAATTGTGCATGCCCAATAGAAGATAGCTAACGGGAGGAGCACATAGAAAGGCCTTATGTAAACATATCACCAGAATGATTGACAATTAGAAGGACCACTTATTTATATGATCCACCCGGAAATAAAAAATCATCCTCTATACCTTTAACAGTGTGACTCATGACAACCTTTGATTTTTGTTCTCTCTCCCATGGGCTCACAAAGATGAGTGAAAAAATGCAGCTATAAGAAGTTGTTTCCACAATCTTTTTCCGACTCCACGGACATACACACAGAGAGCTGGCAGGTTCAGATTCATGTATCGAGACTGGAGAGAAAAAACTCCCCTCAACAAGGAATAAACCTCCAGCAGTACAAGGCTCATTAGATATGTTTACATGGACACAGATAGTGATATTGAAGACCTGATCAGATAAAAAATTTGTAACGTAAACATGTCAGACTGAAGTTCTAATCCATTTTGATCTGATTTGACAGAAATTTAATTCTGGAGAGCTTTTGCCAATCGCCATCCGATTGACATCTATGTACAGACCCATTGGGAGAAATATAATTTCCACTTCTCATGTGTGAAACATCAGCATGACACTGTTCTCTTTACTTCTATCCTTCATGGCTCCTGGTCTCTGGTGGAGGAGGTGGCACTAAATGTAATGTGAGATTGAACATGCCATCCTGCCCTGTACCCCTTAGCAAAGGAGTATTACCACATGTACTGCTGATCCGCTAGCTAAAATGATCAACAAACGTATGGATACAAAGATGCTACAAAGGTCCATAACGGAAAAAATTACATCAACAGAAGAAATGAAGAAGAAAAAATGTGAGTGGCAGGCACAAAGAGTAGCTAATTTTTGCTTAGGTCAGATTGTGGAAATTCTGTGAATATGGAGCCTAGGCGGAAGTTCAACTGAAGAAACTCATTGCTCTCCTATCCACCTGCGTCACAGCCAATCAACTTTGAATCACACCTCCACGAAAGCCAATCAGCATCCAAAGTTCATCTTAAAAGGCCTCCGATCCACTTGTGTGCTCCTGTGCGTAGGTGGTGGATGCGCTTCAACCCACCTCCAGCCCCTCCTCCACCATCTTAGATAAAGCTTCATCAGAATGTCATAGAATGTCATTCCTCCTACTGCGTTCCCTGTCTCATCTCAACCGGTCCGGCAGAAGACCGCCATGTTGAGCCTGGTTCTGCCAGAGGTTTCTTCCCAACGGGGAGTTTTTCCTCTCCACTGTCGCTCCATGCTTGCTCGTCAAGGACAGGTTCTATCAACCTGTGTTATCCAACTGGACTTCCATCTTCCAGGTACCTGAGTGAAGCTCTAGTATCAGCTCACGCAGTCCACTGGATCTCCCCATAAAGCTCAGCATACCGACTCGCTAACCAGCAGTCTACAGACTGACCAACTTCATCATCTCCACTCCACCACCAGTTTCAGGCCTGGGGGGGAAACAGCCCTATGCTTTGCTCCTGTTCATGCATATCTATCAAAATTAAGCGCTCTGTTTCCTGCCGAGGTCTGAGCGCCAAAGACAAAGTAATTGTATCAATAAATTTCTTCTAATTGTCTTTTCTCTTCCTGTGAGATTTTCAGATTGAACTAAATGAAGCTAGTGTGGTCAGCCTTCTGCTGAGGCTCACTGAGCCTGACGGTTAGTTAGTTGGTTAGTTAGTAAGTTAGTGTAAAAAACAGAGGAATAAATATTACTTAATTTATTTTCACCCTCCAAATGTCTCTTCAAGTTTTACCTGGGTGAATGTCCCCCCTCATCATGAGTGTTTTGTTGCAATTACATTGTATTTTGTGGCGACAGGAACCCTCCTTCTCCTCAACCTTCAGTTATTCATAGTGTTCTTTATCAGGTGAAAGCTCCTCTGGAATCACTCTTATCGATATACTATTTTAAATGTTCAAGACAGGTTTTGTTTGCTTAATTTAACAAAAA